CTGGCTGAAATATGCGGGCGTCAATGAAGGTCACCTGTCAACTTAGAGTAGTGCCTGAAGATTACTCTGTGCGGCTATAAACGACTGTTAAATGGAATGATGAATTGTTGAAGGATTTTGAAAACGGAAAAAATGATAGTCATGTCGGCCCAGCATCCTCAACGTTGAAAAATGCCCCGGTCCGAAGTGGTTAATTTGTGAACAAATTACATTTTAGGCATTTTGTGTAAAATTATCAATTATTGAACCACTGATGTGAAATTTGTCAGAAAAAAAATGACAGTCTCATTCACTTTACCTGTCTTCAACAGAAATGATGAGATGCCGCCACCACCACCCCTTCTGTCTGAGGAAGATACTCATGAGAGTGAGTCATCACTCAAACAACTCAGTTCAGAACCATTTCAGAATCGAATCAGGAAAATTCTACTGAGAAATGTTTCCAACCCCATACTCAAGTAAGACTTGGTCTGTATGTACATGTTGTGGTTGAGTGTTAAAGGATTACACTGGGGTGGATGAGTGCCATTAGCTTTCAAAAAGCTGGTTAGTCTGAGCTGGACTAGGATGAACAGGGCTTGACTAGGCCCAGCTGGATGGGACCAAGGGGGACATTGACTTAAAGTAGTGACTGAATTATGCTATTCTACGTGTTTCAATAACACATCACTGTCCAAAACAAAGGAACTTTCAGAGTTGCAGGCATTACCCTTTGAAATAATGCATGTGCAATGTGCGCCTAGTTCGTGCTGGTGCAAATTTTATCCCTTTGCCTATGTTAGTGATCCGTATGCGACCTTGTTTCAGCCGACCAGGATAAAGAACCAATCAGACTTGTGTTAATGGGTTCAGTTCAGCAGACCTCCTAACCCTCCTGATTTTGGCAGAAAATTTCCACTTTTTCACTTTGTTTCCGCCATTCCGATTTCGCCCCCAAAATTTCCGGCAAATCGCAATTTTGACACGCCTATCATTTACTTGAAATGTCCATGTAATATTGTACATGTGCTGTACTGCAGTTTGCCACATCCATGGCAGCGCCCTTTTTTGAGGCGCCCTTGCCGTGAGTTGGACGTGATCACGTGATAAAATGCCTTCTATTGACAAACTACACTGTAACTAACACTGTATACATCCAGCGACGCCCAGTTTCACTTGGAACCAGCAGCTAAGAACGTTTGGATCCAAGACTAAGCCCTGCTGTGAAATCGTCCACAATCATGTCAAGTGTGCAAGCACCATGCAGTGAATTTTGTGGTGAATCAACACATTTAGGAGATGGAAAAGTATTGCAGATCATTTCAGGTGATGGAAACTCTTGTGGTAATCAAAATTTTATGGAATCGGTGAGTACGTGCGACACTGTACAACATCATGGACTCAACTCTTGTACAATGCAGCACTGAGTTTTCCTTGTTCATGGTAGTACAGAGAATATTCCGCTTTTTCATGAAAAATTCTGAATTTTGAGAAAGGATTCAGAATTCTTGATAGCCAATGTTGGGAGGTCTGGCTCAGTCAGGCTAGACATAAGGCTTTGGCGGGGTTGTGCTTGGTGGGGTTGTGGCTTGGCTAATGTTGATTGAGCTGAGCTGGGATGAGGTGGGAGAAGCAAGCTGTAGGCTAGGTTGAGCTGAGTTGGACTATTTAGGGGATAACTAAAATTGTTAGAAGTCGCTGAAGCTGGTTGTAGTGATGGCTGTGTTAGCTGGAAGCTAGGTGGGGCTTAGCATGGCTGGCTAAGCTAGAGTGAGTATACTAGAACTCAATGTTTTGCTCATTGTGCTATTAATTGCTGTGTTAGCTGGAAGCTAGGTGGGGCTTAGCATGGCTGTGTAATCTATAGTGGGTACATTAGAACTCAATGTTTTGTTTAGCATTGTGTTATTCAAGCAGTCTACCTCGGCCTTCTAACCTTCTTTTTCCAGATCTTGCATTCCATCTCCCATCTCTTCTAATGTGATGTTTCTTGGTTTTCCTCTTTAGGGGCAGTTCCAAGACAAGTTTAAGTCCTGAGGAGAGTTTTGACTTGGTGTGTAGTGCCACTAAGGTGTTGCGAGAGGAGTATATCAGTAAGCAGGACCTGGCAAGAGATGACATAGAGAAACGGTTAGTACAGCCATTCATCAGTCCAAACTCACAATTATGCAAAAGGGGACAGGAAAATGACTTGCAGAAATTTGAAGTATTTATTGAAAAGATGACCACTGAATAAAAGATGAGCCTCTTATATCATATTAAAAAAAAGATATTTGATGTAAGGATACAAATCATAGGCTTAAATTCTAATTATGAAATAGTGTGAAGATCCTCCAGCAACAGAAGGAGCTACAGAAAACTGATCTTCAAGACTGTAACAGACTGAAAGAAGAAATACACAATCAAGCTCAACAGATTGCATTCAGACACGATGATGCACTAGAAAAGCAGCAAGACCTTCTTGAAAGGTAAGATGTCTAGACACCAATATTGTCAACAAAATGATGGCTGTTCTCTTCCAGAAACTTCTAGCTCTTTTTCATGAATATGCCATGTATCCAACTCAAAGTGGAGGAACTTTGTCGAGACTGTCAGACATTTAACTACAAACACGTGATGTTTTACTGTTAATGTTACTTGTGTGTACAGGGTTGGGGCTGCACTGCATGCCTTGCAAGGTCAACTACCAGTGTTGTCTGAGGCTGAGCAAAACCTGCAAAAAGAAATGACTGACATGGAGCAGAAGGTGGAACAACTCAAAGATTCATTGAAAAAGGTACATTTACTGGACGTGTACATCTTGCATAGAGTTTTCTCAGAAAATCCTTTTCAAGCCTTGTGTAGATTGAGAAAAATCTTTTCATGGATTCTTGTTTTTTCCTTTCCTAATTACTTGCATTTATCGTAAGACTTTACGGTCATAACCTCTCCACCTTCAAGTTGATTAGGTTCTTGCTTTGCTTCCTTTGTTCAGGTTAAACTCAAAGACGAGTATCGAAGGAAGAAGATGCAGGAGCTAGACAAGAAGGAACAGAGTCCCTCCCTAAGCCAAGGACAGAATAGACACCTCAAGACACTCCTCAAAGAAGAGTAAGGAGTTAAACCCAAACTATTATAGGAGTTTTGAGGGATACTTTTTCCGAAGTGGGCCCTCAGAAAGTTTTGTTGTCAAACTGTTTGATCCCAACCGAGCTGTAACAAGTGTAAAAGGCACATTTAGAAATACACAACATTGGAAATCACCACTTGGATATAATGAGATGATGTACTGAAATCTAGTTTCAAATAGTACATGCAATGCCCATTCATATTTCCTGTATTTTCTTTTGACATTTGATGTCTTGTTTTTAATTTCTTCTTTCCAGGAGTGATACTATTGCTTCATTAGTCAAAGAAATCAAGAATCTTACCGTCGCAGTAGGACACTGAATGGCTGTTTATTTACCAACTATATTGGTTTCTTTGATCATTGTTTGTCTTAGAAAAATGTGCTGTAAAATTCAAGAAGTATTTTGTGTGGGGTTTTATCTTCTAGAAGTGCACACAAAACAGTGAGTACACTGTTTGTGGTAGATTTAACAAAGAAAAGAAAGAAATGAAGGTTATTGACTATTCACTGCACTTGTAAGGAGATGCAGGTATCATAATCAGTTTGGGAGAATTTAGGGACTCATTTACCGAAAGACATGCAGGTGTCATAATCAGTTTGGGAGAATTTAGGGACTGTCACTCATTTACCTTAGGATTTACAGGTATCATAATCAGTTTGGTAGGATTTAGGTACCCATGTACTTAAGGAGTTATGGGTATTATCAGTTTGGGAGAATTTAGGGACTCATTTGGGTCATTCCATGAGGTTGAAGCCTTATTTGTGATGGCGTCCATTGATACGTGGGTTCCGTAAAAATGAACAGCTATTTTCCTTATGTGTGGATTCCATTGACATTGTTGCACATCTTGCAAGGCAGAGGTGTTGTTTTTACAGAGTAAATGACCTAATCTACAGGTCATGAAAGGTGGTAAAAGTTGCCCATGTAACAAGGACACCGTCACAAAATTGTACTCCAACCTCCTAGAATGAACCATTTGCATGTGGCATTTGCAACTTTCAAGTTTCTATTTAATTTTAGCTCATCTGTTGAGTAAATCAATCCTAAAAAAGGTTTTTATTAGACCTTATGCTGGGCAAGAGGGGGGGTTGTTCTATGAGCAGTCTTGTAACTTGGTGCTCTTTCTCGGTAAATGTGTGGTGTCAGTGCAGTCTGATAGAGGATTTTTGTTGCAATCGTTTCATTTCAGTGAGCACATGCGATATCTATGGGAGTAATAATTTTTAGCCAATACATCTTTGGAAAGCATGCATTTACAAAAACAATGTACCTGATTTTCATGAATTGATGCCATTGTTACTGCAGGACTTGGAAAACCTGAAGGCTGTATACACAAAATTTTACAATGAGCTGCTATCAAGAAAAATGTTTATAAGGGGGCAGACAACCCCCACCCACCCAAAAACAAGAAATTGAGAAAAAAGTAAAGGCATTTGATGCAGGAATACTTGTGTTCCCTTTTGAAGGAGAGGAAAAGGCTTTGGAAATAAAGATTATTGGAAATGTAACTAAAAGATAATGTTCTGTGTGTTTATTCAAGTATTTAATTCAAACATGGCTTGCTACATTGAGGGGCAAATAGGTGTAAGGTTTGGTTTATCAGGAAAGGAGGATGGAAATCATCTAGAGATTTCCTCATTTTTTCTTTAACATGGTCTGTGACTTTGGCCGTAAGGGACTTTAGTTTAAATGGAACTTTTTCAGCCTGCCAAATGCAAAAGGGAAGATGGCTGGTGGCTTGGCATCTCGTGCCATTAGTCTGTTGAGGGAATGTTCATGGTAAAGACTATGGAGCGTCAAAAGTGGACAACCCCATTTTCTCATTTTTTGCTAGTAGATTTTTGGGATTTTGGACTTTACCTAAAGTATTTTCAAAAAACGCAATTTGCCACTAGGAGAAATTTGGATTTCACTTTAACAACTCTCGTGGTGCGTCAAAAGTGGACAACTAAAAACATCAAATTCCCACTGGCAAAATAACTATCATGCTCCAAAGGTGGACAACCCCATTTCTCATTTTTTTCAAGTAGATTTTAGGGTTTGGGGAATTTGTGTGAAGCATTTTCAAAAACTCAATTTTCTGCTAGCAAAAATTGGGATTTTACTCTAAGAAGTCTTCGTAGCGCGTCAAAAGTGGACAACTAAAAACTTCAAACTTCCACTAGCAAATTTTATTTGATGCTCCCATAGAGGACAACCCTTTTTTCTCATTTTCTGCCAGAAGATTTTCGGTTTTTTTTTAAGTTGCACCATCCCGTTTCAGAAAACCCTCTTTTCTGCTAGCAGAAATTTGGATTTTACTTTGACGACTGCAAGGTGGTAAAAACTGGAAGGACACTTTTCTCCCTACGTTGAAATGGAACGGTCTTGGGGATATTGGCAATCACACGACCCTGAAAAAAAAATTATGTGGAGGAAAGTTGCTGAGTATAGTGGAAGTTACTCGGAGTGCCAAAAGTGCAACAACCAATTTTTTTTTCATATTAGATGTAAGATTTGTTATACAATCCACCGTGCATTTCACAGTAAATGAATCTGATGACAGCTCTGGGCCGTCAATTGCAAGTTTGTGTTTTCATTGCGTTAATATCTCTTCACATTGTCACTTTGAATCATTTGTCTTCATATTAATGACCCAGGCCTCCACTATAACTGCCCACTTGTATTGATGACTTGAACAAAGATTTGAATGATAAATATTAAATTAAATCATATCAGTGACCGACTGGTGTACTAGCTGAAAGATTTATTTTCTTCGTGGCTATCCTTTTTTGTTATTGGAATTATTGGCTGAATACGTGTTTTGGAATTTGTGGGATGTTAAAATTATTTCAGCAAGTTCAAGTTTTTGAAACTCTTGGTTCACTTGATCAAACAGTACAAGGCTTCTTTTCTTGACATGACTTTCTCAGTTACAACCTTTTTTCGTTCTACAAAAAATGTAATTATTGTACTGGACAGGGATACAATGGTTTATTACAGCTAGCATCGTTTAGGGGACATATCACCATGCGCTAATTTATTTAAAATGGAACTTTCGGACGGCAAGCCGCCGTTGTCATTCTAATTACACAGTGCGCTGGGAGGTCGGAAGTTGGCGGTGCCATAAAGGACTGTCAGGCTTTGCGCGGTCCCTTTCCTATATTGGCAAGTTTCTCAACAGGAATCACCCATTTTTTTCCGAGCTGTGACGCCATCCGTCAGATGCACACAATTGACCCTCTAGCGTTAATGTTGGCTCCCATCTTCCCAAGACTGTTCCATTCTGAGAGTAGGGAGCACAGCGGTCGTTTCAGTTTTCAACTTGTTCACTTTTGGACAACCCCACCGTCGGCAAAGTAAAGTCCAAATTTCTGCTAGCAGAAAATTGGGTTTTATGAAAAGGGGTGGTTCAACTTCCCAAAACCCGAACATTTACTAGCAAAAAATGAGAAAATGGGGTTGTCCACTTTTGGAGCATGACAGTAAATTTTCCAGTGGGAATTTGAAGTTTTTAGTTGTTCACTTTTGACGCCCCACGAAGAGTCGTTAAAGTAAAATCCAAATTTCTCCAAGCGGAAAACTGCGTTTTTTGAAAATGCTTTAGGAAGGGTCCAAAATCCCGAAAATCTACTCGCAGAAAATGAGAAAATGGGGTTGTCCACTTTTGACGCTCCATGGCGCCACGAGAGTTGCTAAAGTAAAAATAAAATCCAAATTTCTGCAGGCGGAAAATTGCGTTTTTTAGTTGTCCACTTTTGACGCCCCACGAAGAGTCGTTAAAGTAAAATCCAAATTTCTCCCAGCGGAAAATTTGCGTTTTTTGAAAATGCTACACGCAAAGTCCAAAATCCCGAAAATCTACTCGCAGAAAATGAGAAAACGGGGTTGTCCACTTTTGAGGCTCCATAAAGGTATTGTTGAGTTACCCTCTTAATGGGCCCGTGGTTATGTTCGCGCTATCTGATCAAGTATGTCGATAGAGGGCGTCTTTCTTTGTATTCAAGATGGCAGCGCCTATACGGCGAATCGCGAGTTATGTACACCCAAACATACGCAGTAATTTGTTATTTACCAGAATAGGTTTAGGACTCCGATGTACAATATGCAGATATTTAAGTACATTGGGTATGTTTTGGCAATTATTCTTTTTTATCAGTTCCCGTAGACACCAACCAAACCATGCAAACTGGCCTAACCCTAAGTTAGTCATGCTTACTTCATCGTATTTTGCACTAACGTTCATGTACATGTGCGTCCAGTGAACTGGCAGACTGGTGAAATTGGTTCAGTGTGAACATCTGTTCCTTGCTCTATGGTCATGATGGTGTCAACAAACTAATAAATGCCACCATTCATCATGTTCATGGCCATGAACGTGATAAATGATACATACATGTACAAAAATTCAAGATTCCTTTTGTTCTACAACAAATTTCCCGAAATATGGTCTCTACCATGCAGCATGCCATACTATGAGGCCTACATTATGTCATAGGCGACATGACTACAGTATGTCTGTGATGCTTGCCCACTTACGTTCACTTTGAGCAATTTTGCTTTTCCTAAATTCCAGCAATAAACAGCTTCTTTTAGCATGTTTAGGCCGAACACTACAATACATGTGTTCACCAAAAACTGATTTGGAAATTTGGTGGAAGAGTCCTGTGAATGCTTGTGCTACTGGCTTCACAGATTTTCCCCTGCAGTTGTTCATCACTGCAATCACAAAGCAATAACGTGTCCTCAAAAGTCAAATTTTGCAGGGAAAAAAATCAAGAAGTATTTACAGTTTTACAAGTCATGCCAGTCTTACAGGGTTTGTGCATAGGGTGTAGAGAAATACCTGTGTATGGAACTCTTTCCCTGATTTTATCTCACCCTTGTCCCTGCGTAAATGGATCAAGTACATGTACAGCCTACTTTTGGCCAAAATGGTACAGAAAGTCAACAGTGGAGGTGTTTATCACAACGTGGAGACTGACCTTATATTCAGAGAAGTCCCACTAACTCTATGTAGAGACAAAACCAATCCCTTAAAAGAGAGAACGTGGGCTTGGAGCAAAAATGTCTACATGCTATCTTCAATTTTCCCCCAAGTTTTCTGTTTATATAAGTTATTTTAGTTTTTTTTAATGAAGTTTGTACCATATTACTCAATTTACTGTTTGCAAAGGATTGATATTTTTGAAAATTGTTTTGATGTGGTCTTTTTCCCATCCTTTTACATGTATGTCCCATTGCACTCTCTTGCTTGCAGTCCTAGAAGTATATGCAAATAAAATAAATCAAATGGCAGCCTAGGATGTTTTCTTCTGCTAAATCAAATGATGGCATTAAAAGGATTCTCATGGCAGTGGTAGGATCCCCAAACCCATTTGAAAAAAAATCCCTGTTTTGGGGAGACTTTCTCTTTTTCATGGGACTGATTTTGTCTCTGAATAAAGAGACTTCTCCAAGTTTAGAGCCTCTTTCAGAGCTGTGATGTGAACCCTTACTGGTCAAAGTAGAGATACACAGTTGTAAATGCCCAAATGTTTCATTGATCATTGCCATTTTTAACCCACTGTGTTATCAGCACCGCATATAACATAAAGTGATTGGGCTAGAAGGCACAGGGGATGCCTTTGAGTTTACTTGTATCTGTCATGTGTTTACTGTAGTGCACTGCCATATGTATGTATGGAGTGCAGTAGATTACATGTACTTCGCATCTTAATAATTTAACAGGATCTCAATAATTTGTTTTCATTCAAGACAAGTCCATTTAGCTTGGAAAAACCAAAATTGTCTGAGAAAAAGTTGATTTTACTACATGTACTGCCTAAGTTATATTTGTAAATAGTGTTTTGTAGGCCTAGGTCTACATGTACATGTAGGTTTGGATGGCCATATGCAGAAATCTTTCCAACAACCATATTGGTAAGAGTTCCACATTTTTTATTAGTAAAATTTGTATCCAAGCCGTTGGAGCCACAAACATTCATAAGAATGACAAACTAAAAAGGGTAGGCATTCATCACCTTTATACAAGGGGACAAGTTCTTTTGTCAGACAAATTTGGACTGCGTTGTGGGGACACTTTCGTTGTCTCCATAACGTTTTTTGTCCCCACAAAATAGGTGAAATATTGAGTGTACATGTATGTGTATGCCCCCACAAGTGCACATGAAGTGCAGAAAAAGCAGTGCATGTAGAAAAACAGTGTAGTTTAATTAAAGTGTGTAAATATACATGTAGGTTCAGAGTTAGTTGGGGCCTACATGTAGGTCTGCAAATGTCAGACCAGCCATTCTAATGTATTAGCCTAAAATTGATTATCTGATAACCATGCACTATTTTTATGCATTTACATTATTTAGTAGGAAGCTCCCATTATGATCTTGCCGTTATTGGTGGTGGCTCTGGGGGATTAGCTTGTGCTAAAGAAGGTGAGTGTATTTATAAGGTTGTTCACTGTATACCTTAGTGTGTGCCTTCACTGTATGCCTTAGTGTATGCCTTCACTGTATGCCTTAATGTGTGCCTTCACTGTATGCCTTGGTGTGTGCCTTCAC